TAAGAACTAATAAACCATCCAAACCAATCAGCCAACTTTTAGGGCAAAATTAGCAAGGTTTGTTGCTTATGGGTTTTGGACGCATACAAACTAAATGTTTGATAAAATTTTTTATTTAGTTATTTGAAATTAATAGATAACGAGTAAAGTTTAAATCACAAATAAATTGAAAAAGTTACTCAAAGTAGCTTTTTGTATCGAATTGTTAACATATTAAAATTTTTTAATTTTATTAATAAATTTATCTTTTTAAAATTTTTTACCATAATTTTTAATTAGTATTTATCTACAATTTTTTTTTATCTTTAATAACATTGAGTAATTATTATATTTTTATTTCTACAATAATTTATCATAAAAAATATATTAACTTAATAAACAAAATTTATTAATTAGATGAAAAGATTAAAATTTCTTTGCACTTTTTTTAAAATATTGTAATTTTTGCTTTGTTAAAATAAAAATTAGTGAATGATTATACTATTATAATTTATTTTATTTTCTTATTATGATTTTTATAAAATTAATAATTTTAATAATAAAAATATATTAAAAAAATATTTAATTATTTTTAAACATATTTTTATTAGTCATTTAATATTGAACAATATTTATTAACTATTACATAACTAAATAGTTATATTAATCAAATCTGTTATCTATTATCTATTACCTACTTTTTACTATTAACTACTTACTATCCATTATTTGTCATCCACTTTTTGCTATTAGCTACCTACTATCTATTAATAGCCATCATCCATTTGCTATCATTATCCACTATATACTAACCATTATTTACCAAATTTTAATTGTTATACCAAAAAGACCCAAAATACACTTTAAGCGGGAGTTAAAAATCTAGTTTAAAAAAATCCACAATTAGCACAAATTTACTTATTAATAAATCTAACCTTAAGGTTGAAAAGACAAATTTAATTATATCATTCACGCCAATGGATTTCAATCTTATCATATTCCCTCATTCATTTTTAATAGATCTAATTTAGTTTTTTAATTTTTCAAATATAAAATTTAAATTTAATAATTTTATATGAATAACAATTAATTTTTTTTTCTTATATAAAATTCTTATTGAATACTTTAATTTAATAAAAAAATTTAATTTATCATATATAATATATTAAATTTTTATGTAAAATTTATATTTAAAAAGTTGCAAAATTAAATTAAAATTATATTAAAAATAAACAAAAAGAATTCATTTCTTTTTGGTGCATACACTATTAATTTATGGAGAAAAAAAAAGTATCATTAAAATTAGCTTCTCACCTCTAAAAAAATAAGGTTAAAC